CTTTCGGTTACAATGTCTCTCCTGACTGAATGGCCGTGGCTTGCTGCAACGTTGGCTCAAGCCCTAGCTGGAAAGTGCTTTGGGCCCACGGGCACGAGATGACAACCATTTTGGGGTACCCCATTTGGGCATGTCAAACCTTCGCGGACCCCGGAAATGGCTTTCCTTCCGTTTTCCCAAAACCAGACCAACAAAAGGTTCCAAACTCCATGCTCACCACCAACAAGGTCTTCCCAATAAGCCTAAAAGTCCGGGTTGTTCAAGCAGTGAAGACATGAATTTGGTAACCTCAACACAGACGCGCACACACACACACAGACACACAACACCTTGCCAAAGCGCACACTGGCGTCGGCGGGTCCAGCTCGTTGCAGGTCCGTAAAGTTCTGGAGGTGAACTTGTCCAAACCGCCTACGCATTGCTTCAGATGGATTTCAGCCCCGAAACCACCCCTAGGGAAATCGGATACCTTCCCTTGATATAGTGGCTGATGGTTGTCTATTCCCTTAAACTCGTGGAGGTACATAATATTTGGGGTTGTTCTATGCTCCAGCGGTCAAAACTCCTGGTCATGGCTCCCTTACACGGAATCCTTGCATTGTTTTAATCCCTAAACGGTCTGTGGCCAGCCCCAACCTAAAGCAAAGGGGTGCTTTGACCATCGCATGAGAAACTAACCAAGAAGTCAATTTCAAACCTCGGGGTTTGACCACCGGTTCACCTCCATTTGCTTATATAAGTCTCCTGAATATACACATATTGGTTTTGGGGCCATTATGCCACTGTGTTACGTCTATTAAAGGAACAAACCTAGTTTTTGGTGTTTTTTGCGGATGTAATATATATATATATACATAGGTACATAACCACCAACATATTTCCGGTAGTGATAGATTCCCTTTAACACCAACAAGGGACAGTAAGACGTCTTCTTAAGCAAATGGAAGTTCAAGGCTCGAAGCACCCCTGACCATGTTACCCAATCCACCTTCAGCTAATGCTGTTTGTCAGGACCCCACGTGCGCAGCTTTCAACCATTGGCGTTGGAAGTATGGATGCTTGAAACTCAGCGACATAAGTGTGGAATGCAGCACCCCTATAGACGGTAGATGCCCTCCAAACTTCCAAAACCCAAATGTGACAAACATGCAGTTGTGCTGGACAGCCTATGTGAGAAAGTAGCACTGCCATCAGCCTATAACTGTGGACTATGGTGTCAACCCAAAAGAAGGAAGCCTAAAAAGGGCAGGATCCAGCCTCACTCCCGCAGTGCCCTGTGAGGTTGGCTGTACCCAAACCAAAACACGGGTCCCCGTTTTGAGGAGGGCTCCTCCTTGTTACCCCCTTCACCCGATGGGTACAATGGATTGCCAAAACGTTGGAGTCTGGAAGTGGCTCTGGTTGAAAACCGAGGGATTGCTTGAACTTTGCTGGCCCAAAGCAAAGCTCGACAGACACATGTGGTTGAACAAATCAGGTTTACCATTTGTCCAAATTAGAGGTACGAGTATGCTGCAAACGACCGAGTCTCCGAGTGCCGAAAAGTCTGTCTCAACCTGCTAAGGCAATCCCAATCTGCTGTTCACATTGACCTTAAAAATTGCACGCATGGTTTTCCTAGTTTCGGGAACCTGCCCCACACCCGGACACCAAAAAGCAGTCCGGGGAGAAAAAACAAAAACCGCGACTGTCTCAAACTCGCCCGGCCTAGACGCTCCAAAGTGCCGAAGGATCCGAAGGACTTCATCTTGGACCTCGAACGTTACGCGCTACGTGTAGCGAAAACCCAACGGGGGAAATACAAAAAGTTCAGTCCAAACAAACAGGACGAATATACGGCTCGCTCTTGAACAACCACGGCGCGGGGTGTCTCCATATAGAGACCCCCACCAACAAAAGCAAAATGGTTTCCTCTGTGTCGTGCCTTCAAAACCAGCCCAAGAGGCGCGCAAGCCTCATGTCAATGTGGCTGCTCGTTCTGAGCAGCGTCTTGAACCAGCTTGCGAGCAAACTGGAACATCTGGAGGATTGAACGAGTTGATTTCCCTAAAGTGAAGGATGCCCTCTAATTTCCCAAGAAGTAAGTCGGCGGGAATATCAACTGGGGTACCATTGCCTCTGGCGTATCAAGGGATTGGGGAAACCACACCTGAGCCACAGAAAAAACCAGGCAGATGAAGGTTAGTAACGGATACTCCCAACCATAAATGGGCGTCTTCGCCGCCTTTTCAATTCTGGAAGCATGCTTCTGGGATTACGACCATTTTAATACCGATCGGTTTTGACTGCGGCTCGCCTCCAGAATTTCAATTCCCATCCCATTCAGAAGCCGAGCGACAGCTTCTGGAGCAGCTTTGGCTTCGAGGGCAGAGACAGGTCATGGGCCTGGCCACATGCGGTGCTTCGCCCCATTAGCCTCCGGAGAAAAAACAGAAGGCAAAAAACGGCAGAAGGTCCGTTTCAAAGAAAGAAGAAGTTCATACAAATATCAGAAAGCCATTTTCAAGCCTATGCCTTAGTCCCGCATTTTGGCAAACTGTCCAACACTTTCCGGAATCTTGGCGGTGTCCCAAAAGACCATAGAAAACCTGGGGGTGCCGGGGATTCCAGTTCAAAGGCTAAAGGTATTGGATCTGGAAATTAAACGTTGCAAGCGGTCCCCAAACCATCAAATTTAGTCTCTGTTGTGTTTCCTTATTGTTTTGCTTTTAATCAGCGCACAAACCTAAACAGTCACGCAAAGGCAGGGATGCCAACGTCAGCCCTTGATCCTGCTTAATCTGACTGTTTGGAGTCGTTTTAAATGTCAAGCTTTTTTGGTGGGAAAATCAGAACTGGCAATACTAAATTATGAACGGGGGAATCTGACAGTAAGTACTAAATCTGAATTAAGTGCTGGAAATCTGTGAGAAACTCTTGGCAACACTAACTTTTGAATTCGCAACACTTAGTTAAGTACTGGGAATCTGAGAGTAAGTCAGTCAGTCTTGTCAATACTGAAGTTACGATTCGCAATACTAAATTCAGCACGAGGAATCTGAGAGTAAGAACTAAGTAGTGGCGAGCCCCAGTCCAACCCAAACAGCCCCACCTTTCCTGTCTACAAGTAAAGGATCACAAGGGCAGATCCGCATCGATTTCTGGCCAGGACTGTCAACTGTCCACTCAACTTCCTTCGCTTTGGTTTTGACCGTACCTCTCCGGGTCCCAGACAAAGGCGGCAAAAGGACACCCCCGCAACAAAGAGTTGGCCAGCTCCGGGCACCATGCCCATGATGAGCCCACAGCAAAAAGATTGGAACCATGATCCATAGGTCTGAGAAAGTACCGTCGAGAGGGAAGCCTGTCCGCGAGAAAGTTGTTGGGAAAGTATGTGCACAAATGTCCCTGAACAACTTCTAGGTTCTCCAGTGGAGAGGTTAGAATAAAGGTACCCTTTTTCCTGTAGCCTATTTTAGTAGGGGAACCCTCCCCCAAAAAAAGAAGTTAGTAAAAGGGCACCTAGCTGGGGGTCTTTGTCTTCATCTTCCGGCTCTCGCAGAGTTCTCTTTGGGGCCGTGCCTAGCGGTTGCTGGACAGAAAACAAATCCCACTGGAGATCTTCTTCCGGCTTTCGGAGAGTTGCTGGAAACAAATCTCACGGGAGGTCTGCGGATTTTTCTTTTTTTAATATCAAAATCCCAACTCTGCCCCTGGGCCTCCGTCTGTATCACCGGCAGGTCTGCTGCAGTAGACCATGGCAGAGCCGCTCCCATAGCGCCGAAAGCCGCTGGAAACCCTCGCCAAAAGACAGCCCTTCGGCCACAGAAAATGCCGAACCTTTCGCTTGTGGCATTGACGTGTAAGGGAAAACCATGGTGAGGACCCATCAGGCCCGCAAGGAATCTGCCGAGTCTCAGCGGCGTGCTTCGGACAATCCATTGTCTCATAGGCGATCAAAGACTGGTGTTCCTGGGTCGTGTTGTTTCGTTGGGGCCTGTGTGCAAATAGGCAATCCCTAAAGTGGAGGATATCCCTTGGTTTGAGCACCCTCACAAAACAAAAAACGTGTTCGTAGGAACTCAAGAAGGCATTAAGCCAGTTCCACTTGTCAATTTGCATTGAACAGGTCAGAAGATCAAGGACAGTGGTCGACACTTGTTGTCATGTTCCTCGGCAAAAAAACTTGCAATCTTCTATTCTATGGCCCGTGTTCACTCGCCGCCTCTAAGCCTTTGGCTCTTGTAACGGCGCAGCGTGCGCAGGCGCTGCGAGATGAGCGCGCTCAGTGGGTCTTCCGCCGTCAGCAAACCATTTGACCGTCCAAGGAGGCTCAACGGACGTATCCAATAGGCTCCGCAAGATCCGAGTGCCTAAGGATCCACCAACAACAAATAATACCATTCGACCTTTTGCAAAAATGAGTGTGCGCGCACTGACAGCATATACACTTTCTGCGCAAGGGGCAAAAGCCATCCAGCATACATGGAATATATTGCAGCCAATCGTGCAGTGCCCTCATGTCGTGCAAACACAATCTCCAACCAAGACACCGTCAGCCAGACTGCTCGTTCCCTCACGCCTTAAATCAATTGCCAGTCAAATCCAGGCGACCCCATTTCATGCAACTAGGCCACTCATGAATGACGCAAACAAGTTGTTTTGTCAACACGAAAGGATCATATATGGCGGCGTGTCAGAACAAGAGAGCCCTCATGCTTGGTGTCAAAATGGTTAGCCTGAGTTGTCAATGCCCTTGCCAACCACGTCCCTAGTTGAGTGTTCGGGGCCAAGTAAGCGGTTCGTAACCTAGGTTGTAACCCAACCATTTTCGCTTGCTAAGCAGCTAGTCGGGCTAACCACCTACTCACTCTTACACAAAAAGCATCTTCAGACTCCCTTTTTTAGCCCACCCCAGCATAAAAAGGAAGCTTAGGCCCCAACAAACCCGACCAGAAACCCGCCCACACCCCATATTTCGACCCCCGCGCAACCTGGCTCACCAACCCGAGGCTCCGGGCCGAAGCCGCCAAGGGCTCCGCGTCATGGCTGGAGTGCATGGTGCCGCACCAGCCCTCCGCCGCGCTGATGGAACAAAAAAAACCACGGCGGGTCGTACACAAAACACACACACACACACAACGGCTTTCACTAAAAACAACAACAGCATGATATGCTTATCGTGTGATGAATATGTGTAACAAACAGAACACAGAAGACTACACATGTTGTTTCTAAAAGAGACAAGAACACAGTGAATGGAGTTTTGTAAACACCTAACAGCTTGAAAAACAACAGCATGCCTGTTGTTGTTGCGTTCTTTCGATGAAACACAAGTCCATGTTTCAATTAAAACAAATCATGCTTTGATGTAATCACCGTAACATTGTTGTTCAATTCAAACAACAAACAAAGGTTTTGGTAAAGAAACAACGCCCAATGGCCCAATGGTGTTATAACACCAAACAACCCAATATGTTCATACACAAAACAAAACACACCTAGAAACCAAACACAACCCAATGGTGCTTATTAAACAACAAACGCAACTACTGGTGAGTATCAAGCAAAATAAACACAACAACCACATGTGTTTCCTTGTTTGTTCCTGAAAGCACGCAACACATAGCAACAGCCCGAAGGATTCTATTTTGTTTAACGATGTACTTGATTGAAACAGCAATAAAGCACAACAAAAAACACACACACACAAGCACGCACACATACCAATCCTTTTGTCTTTTACGCTAAACGAACAGCACGTTGCTTGTTCATACACACCCGAACACAAAACGGTCGTATATTAGATAGAAAAAAAACATGTAATGGTGTTAATGAATTGTGTTTGTTGTGAAACATTACCCTAGCTATGTGTGTTCTCAACCCAAAGGCTTTGTATGAAACAATAAACAGTGTTGTGGTTTGAGAACAGGTATGTATTTATCTATCTATGTATTACACACAAATCCACAACCCCAATAGCTACTCTGCATACATTTGTGTATATATACATATAGCTGGACATGCTAATCACAATCTGGGAGCCATGACTGCTACTGTGACGACGCAGCTATTTCAAAACATGCTTCACGACTTGTTGGTCCAAGGCTTTGCAAAATCATTTTTTACAGCTATCACACAACACAAGGGGATACGCAGTTTACAAACTCCGCACGCCCAAATTGTGTCGCGGGCGGGCAACGCAACTGTGAAAACAAAAACAAACACACACCCACACACACAATGTTGGTGTCCGGTTTTAAACAGAACACAATGGTTTCAACAAAAATAAAACACGATGGTTTTATAGTAATTAATCAGAATAAAACAACATGCACTCACCAGGAAGACTTGGGTTGTCGCATAGAAAATGTCGTTGGGAAGTACGGTTTCGACCCATGTTCAACAATCCGTGAGCTGAATTGCTTCTCCATTTGCGTTTTCGTCCCCTGGCAAATATGATAAACTATGTCCAGTAGTGGTGGATTCCCTTTAAAAACCAAGAGGGGAAAATAAAACATATTCTTAAGCAAATGGAAGATTGGCCTGATTTTCTGGGGACTGACTCGGCCTTGCTTCGCCACTTATCAAGCCGAATCTGGAAGGGGGGGTCATTTGTTGGGCGCCTGACCAAAAAACATGGACCCCCTTTGAGGATGCATGTGTGAGTTGCCGGTATGCAAAAGCACGCTGGCTGGGTCGCTAGTTTATAAATGCACTATGAGCCAAAGACCAGAACTTCCATGTGGCTCAAATGTGGGGAGCCTGGAAGCTGCTACCCTTCAATGGCTTTCAAAGCAAGCTCAAAGACCCCCTGTTGACTGGCAGCGGCCTGTGGAACCAGCTGTGACTGGGTCAAGGGCATGCTCCTCTCGCAGCAGTTGCTTACTCGCGGTAAAAGCAAACAACTCGACGGATGCCCATCCTGGCTAGTTCCCCTGCTGCCCAGGCTGGTCTCAAAAAATCGACAGAGAGGTTGATGACCATTGAATCTGGGGCAAAATGGACACCGTTGTTCAAGAACAAACAAAAGCCATGCCAACCTTGCGAACCTGTCTACAGCCGAAGTACCCAGCACTTGGAGGCGGCAGGTCCTGATTGAAAATCCGAGTCGAACCAAGAGGCCTGATTTTGACACATACCCTCCCCATCCCCTCTTTTGTGGATGTCAACCTCCGGACTAAGAATGGATTTGATGGAATTTCCGGTATCTTCTTAAAAAAAACCAAAAAAAAAAAAAAAAAACACCAAAAGCACATCTTTGGAGCAGGGCGGGCCATCCCTGCCAGAATTCATCGAGAAGCTGAGAGCTGAGTAGTGGGCCATGGTCGGACTGCCAGGAAGGCCGTCGATGTGGCCATCGGCACCTCGATTCCAGAAACCGAGGGGTCGCATTTGCTGAGTGAGGATCCCACTCAGGTCCCTCAGAAAAAAAAGTGCAGGCTTGTTGTTTCCCACTAACGCCTCCCAAAAAAAGAGTCCACCAAAAAAAAGGGAAGCAAGCTGCCCCCCTGTCCAGTAACATGGAACCTCACAGGGGCTTCCTGGACCCCCTGGTGGGTTCCATGATCGTGGACAGGAGGGTACAGCAAGTGGGGCTGGCTAGCTTGTTGAATCCAAGCTTGCAACTTCCTTTTCTGGGCTGTCCGTTGTCAGATCCCCGCGAAAAGTGACGAACTGTGTGTTTCTTGAAATTCGGAAACCCCAACCACAAAACCAATCCAAAAGCTGAAAAGCCAAGGAACCGGACGGCTGGGAGCCCCCAAGTTTTAACATGGAAACCCACCTAAAAAGCGAAAAAGCTCAGGAACCGCATGGCCTTCCACTCTTAGGCGCTCAACGTCTGTTGGCGGCCGAGATCCCCGCACAGCGTGTGCAGGTGAAGCCATGGGACACTCACCTGAAGCCCCGGAAAGCGATGCATACAATGTGCAACCGAAGGCCCGGCCGGTGCAGCTAGTCGAAAACCAAAACTGTGCGAAGTTTGTGGGAGTGCGTGTTAAATGGTGGGACTTCTTGGTCTGATCATGATTAACAAGAATGAAAGGACAGATCTCAGAGGTTGGCTCCGAAAACCCTTGCACAAGGGTGACAAATTGGAAAATCCGCACAGTCCTAAACAAGCGCTGACCAAGTGTCTACACTTGTGGTTGCTTGACTCGAACCTCAGCTTGAAGCATTTCTGATCTTAGAGTGCCTCATTATACATTGGTCAAGGGCGCAGCTGCATGACCCCGGCCAGTTCGTATTCACTCGCGCTAGACATGTTGCCTGGCCAGGGAAAAACATGAAATATCCAACTTGCTGGAGATTGCGCCAATTGCGTGCGGGCTCAGACTAGTAACTAACAATGGATGCTGGAGTACAAAGCCTATGAGCTCCATCTAAACAGATGAACTGTTGGGTCTGGAAGTCCTACCGAAGAGCTATGCGCAACTGTGTGCTCTTGCCTTCCATCACGTTCGATCTGGGTGAGGTAACCTATTCACCAATGTTAGACGACAAATGGACGCAATGGACCGGGATTCTACTGGCAGAAGCACACACACAGTTTGTGGACAATGGAAAACAAAGACTGCCATGTTTGACGAACGCAAAGGTCATACATTTCTTGCACACACCAGCTGGCCAAGCCATGCTTTTTTTTGCGGTCGAGCCGCCAGTTGCGCAGCGTGCATGCATTGGCGAGCAGGGCCTGGCGCCGGATACTTCCCCTTGATCCATGCTCTACCCGAAACCGATTGAAACCTAACAAGGAACGAGTGCATTGGCCAACAAAGATCCCAAACTTGCTGGGCTTAGCACAAAAATGGTCCAAACCCAAATAGTGACTAAAGTCCATAAACTCGGGGTGTGCGGCTAATATTCTTTGATGGCACATGGCAAAGATATAAGCTGGTACCAAGCGTTGGCTTCCGTCCTAGCAGAAACTCGCTGAAAACGAGTTGTGTCCAATGATGCGTAATCACCGCACTTTTTGCCAGCTAAACGCATGTTTGAGCCCAAACACGGCGGCTATGTTTTTTGAAAATAGAAGCAAGCAAGTTGCGTGTGTGTTGTTCATCATGGAGCTCGGTTTGCCAGATCCCAATCGGTGAGCTCACAATGGCACATCAGCAAAGTCAAGGCTAATGGGGGGATAGTCAGAACCGTCAACGGACATGTGCCCTTTTGATTATTTACACCACGGTGAAAGTAGATCTTAGATGCAGAATTCCCTTCATGCGGGCACGTAACGGTGACCAAACCATGAAGGAATTATACCATCTACTTTCACCCAAAAAGGAAAAGGTGCCCTCAACATGTACCGGCTGAGGAACTTTTGGGTCCTCCGGTTTCGATGAAGATCCCACCCCCGTGCCTTCGCCCACCACCTCGCCTCGGAGTCGCCGGAGATGTGTCCAAAAAGGAATCACTTCGTTGATTTCAACAAGAACCAAATCAACTGGCACCCCCCGCCTTCTGCGACAGGTGATAAGAAGCCCAAGGAAAACCATCGTTTGAGGGGTACCCCAACTGCCCGCATTCTATCGAAACGCTCACCTTTTGGATGGTGTTGGAGGGGATCTGCTGGATGGTATAGATGGAAATCTGTTGGGTTGAGGAAAACATCTGTTGGATGGTTGCAATGGAATCCTTCGGAGGGAGTACAGGAACTATTCGTGGCCAATGGCAATCAACCTGCATAAGAAAATGCCCGTAACTCCAAAGAAAACAGACGAAGTTGGTGTATAGCCATTGTGGCATTGGGTATGGTATATATTTCAAATGTAATTGCAGCCGATTTTCCTTTGGGTTTCATGTTTGATAGAAGGTGGTCCCGGATCTAGGGCGTGCGTTGACTTCGTTTTTGCAGGCGTTGCTTTCTGTTCTTTGGGCCTTTCAGGACCAAGGCCAATCTGGTCAACAGGGTAAAACCCAGACTGTGCCCTTATCCGTTTGTTTTCTTTGACCCATCTCAGGCCTTGCAAAGGCGACCCCGTGGGATCTGGAAACAGCTGATTGCATGAACCGACATGTTGCAAAAGAAACCTTTTTGTGCCGCGGTCACAGCCCTTTGCTTGGGCTTGGTAGGGCTTTGGACAGTTGCAAGGGTTTCTAAGGTCTTGGATTGACCTGTCGAAAGGAGCACAGAGAAACAACAACACTCTGGAACTCAGTCATTTTGAGACAACCCCATATTTGAAAGTATATTCGCCCAAAAAGCGCAACAAGCTTGTCTCGAACATTGGAAAACTCTGACGCAAGGGCATGGAAGCCGAATCTCCTTCAGCGGAGCATGTCGTGAGACCAACTTATCTTTAGAAAGATGCTTCCTCCAGGAGGCAGGGATTTGACCAACTCCGATTTAAGGCTTTGCCCCAACCTTCGGCCTCGAAAATGGCAAAAGTGTGTGCTTTTGGCTTTCCTCTACAACAACCACCGGCAAAAGTCGGTGTTCCCGCACAAAAAGGCACCTGGACCTCGATTCTCTTGGTTGCCACGTTCAGGGAATCCAGCGTCTGCCGGCCCTCCAGCGCTCCAGCGCCAAACAAAAAAAAACACATCGGCGCCCGGCGGAAGGTCTGGAAGCTCGCGCGGAACATCTCCGCCAGCAGCTTCTGAGCGCCTGGTCCAACCCGGGCTGTGGAACCGGGGGTGATAAACACTTCGAAGGGGGAGTTGCTTTACAACAGGCACACTAAGTCAATGAAACTCACAACATGTGTGAGTTGTTGAGAGGGCTTCATTTTTGCACACTTTTATCATGACTAGTTGATTACTCTAAAGGGAACTCTTCTGGTATCATAGAACAAGGCCCTGGAATCCGATTTTATCAACAAGCATATATAGTATCAACGATCATGGGGGTCCAGGGTTCGACCAAGGCGCTTCCTAAACTCCAGGGCCAAGCCCGTGTTCGAATAAGCTTTTTGGCTGCAAGGGAGTGTTTAGGATGCAAACGTCCAAAATGCACTTGCGGTTCACCTGAATGGAACTGCCATCCTTTTCAGGAACAGAATCTGCTGTTCAGTCCTTGGTTCGGACAATTACTTGCAATCAAGGAAAGCGGGGCTGGGCTGCGGTCTTCCAAGCCCCAGTTGGAGTGGCCTGTTTCGGTGACGGAAGGCAGCACATGGGAAAAAGACTACATTTACGCTTCATAACGTGGTGCATTTGCAGCTGCAAAATGGGGTCCATGATCCCTTGCCGGCGCGAGGCTCCGTCAATTGTTATGACAGCACCGGAGCCTGACCCCTTCAGAAAGCCCAAAGAAGGCTTGTCAAAGCAATGGGTGTCTCGCTTGCCCAAACGACCCGGAAATACATCCATGACACAAAATGAACCAGCAAGTGGAAACCGAAAGCTCAAAAAGTCGGCTTTGGGCCATTGAGGTCTTCAAACGTGTTCCCAACAAAAAACGAGTGTCAAACTGTCTCAGACAAGCCAAGCCCGCATTGTTCAAAATGGGATCTGCAATCCTCGCCCACATTCCGTAATGGGGCGCCAGGACAACAAGGGGCACCGCCACCATTTGGCATCAGGATAGGATTGATGTTGAACAACCCAGCGAGCTTGTGTTGAAGCGTGAAACCAACCTCTTTGCTTTACAAAGTCCGCCTTGCCCGGGAGAAGAGCAGCATTGCTTGGTGGATTCTGAAGGGAACCCTAGAATCCAACTTGAATGACTTGCTGGTTCTCAGTAATAGATTAACAGGGACATTCGGAATGAACCTAGGGATCCCCTCAAAGAAAACGACGAGGGACTCTTTCATTCCCCGCTGAGCACCAGCAGGATGACAATGAAAGGACTGCACAACTGGGGAAGCCATAAGCAGGCCATGTGCTCAGCTATCGAACAGAAGCCCGCCTTGAGGGCACCATGTTTTCAAGTGTCCTCAGCCGTGGCAAGTTTTCACTGCGACTGGCACCTTCAAACCATAGATGGGTCTGTCTTCTTGTTGAGGGCTTTTGCTCGTAGTTTTAAAGGCAAACTAAACAGAAAACCACAATTTCAGGGCCCCCCCCCCCCCAAAAAGAAAACAGACATCCCCAAACAGACATTCGCTTGTAGAATCCAATATTGATAGAAATCCCTCGAAGAACATACATGGACAATTTGACCCTGTCGTCTCCAGGACGGGTTGGGCCACGGCAAACTGAAAGCACCTCCCAAATGGGTATGGGTCAAAACTAAATCACCAGGCGACCGCAGGCTTTAGTCTTTGGTTCCATTTGCCAGGGTTCCATTTTGGATGCTTATTTTTGACACAGCCAAATAATCCCACATATACTTCCATTTATTAAGTCTCCTAAACAAGTATAGCTCTGATAGGTTCCAGTTAAAACCAACAGGGGGAAGTATCAACATACAGTGACAAATGTGGCTGTCGCAACAATCATACCAAAGGCCCAGTTTGACAATTCACAAACACCCTCAAGCCAAGCTCGCCCACCCAACAGAAAGCTTACGGGAAGTCCGCAGAAAAGCTGTCTGTGTCCCAGCGGCGGATGTCCGCGAAGAAAGACTCCGGCACTGTCAGCAAGGCGGTGGAGTCTTCCTTCTGGCATCCTGAGAACTTCCAAGTCTGCACCCAAAATTTTATTGGCCGAATCTACCAAAATTATCACTTCCGAACGCTGGCCAAGGAAAGTAACCAAACTTGTTGTTTACCAAAATGGGCTTCCCAAACAGTTCCAAGTCCATGAACTCAGGGAGTGAGAAAAACACGGACTTCCCTGTCCTGCTGGTTGTTTAGGTTGCGGTTTGTTCTGACCTAGGGTCGCTCCCCGGGCTCACGTCGAAGCTTGGGCTTTACGGTCACGAAGCTTCGCAAACGACCAAAGCTGGAAGAAAACCACTGCACAAAATGCATCATTTCGATTGTATGGTGTCTACTCACAAGAACAAATGTATCATGTATCCCAACTCTACCCCAGAATGGCACCTTTGACATTTCTTCACGTGTCGCGAGCAGGACAGTCCTGTTGCGTACTTGATGTTTTTGAAGGTCGTGCTGCTTTTGTGCCTGGCAAACCGCTCCGGTTGGCGCCAAAAAACCCGGCAAGGATGGCAATTAGCTCGGGCTCGCGGGGCTCGAACAAACCGGGGAAAAAAAAGCCAGCCAAACAACCAGCCAGGAAATACATGGAACGGTGGATTCCATCTCTCCCCATTTGGCTCTTTGACAAAACCTCAGACCGCAGTGGGTTTCATCTTGGTTCCATTTTGGGGACCCAAACCGTCCGTGGACACAATTATGCCAACAGCTATTCTTTCGCTGCGGTCAGCTTGCTGGCAACAGGGGTGGCCCTGATTTTCAAGGGGGAGACCAACTCCCCCCCCCTGGTTATGTAGGCCTGTGCAACAACCCCAGGGGCCACCCTGGACCACTGATGGCTCGGGCTTGAGCGGCCCAAAAGTGACGGATCGGCTCCAAAGTTGCACTCGCTGAAGAATCACCCAGGGTGTTTCATTCTAAAGCCCACCCAAAACAAGGCTCGGCGTCCGAGCTGCTTTTTTTTCCTCTTTTCTTTTTCCACATCATCCAAACCATGTCCCTAGGTAGCTCCTTAGCTCCGCTTTTTTTTGAACAGCGGAAACAAATGGATACAAAAAAAAACAGCTCCCTTCCGAGCGGCAAGCCCAAGGCCTCCAGGTGAGGCTCGAAGAACAGCCCTGCGAACACGCACAGCTCTTGCTACGGCACACCTGGCGCCGCAAAGACCAGGTGGTTCCACTCACTGATTATTGGGGTCTTTCGCGCGAGGCGTGGTGATCAGCACATCAATGTGTTAGGCACGACCGTTGTGTGTGTTCCATGGCCTCCCTGCTACAAGACATACATAATACATGCACCTGATCGGCATGTGGGTAGTGTTCAACGTTTGCGCGTGTTTCCAGGAAGGAGCACAGTGGAGTTTGTGGTGCTGGGGACTGGGAAGTGTCACGTTCCATTTTGTAAAGGGTTCTTCCCCTTTCGAGAACCCAATCAGTGAGTCACACTCGAGGGCGCGAACGTTTGAATGTAAAAAAATGCGGACAAATCAACACGGTTGCTTTCGGGAAAAAGCAAAGCCAAATTGTGTTTTTTGTTTGCAAAAAACATGTCAATGTGGCTCTGGTAAAAAGATAGCCATTCCTCACACATCCATTTCCCAGTCACAAAGAGGAAATGGTGAGGAATGAAAAGTTGATGATAAAAAAACATATTGCTTCTCCAGCCACTCGTATCTCTTACCACGGCTGGCATATCCTTTACCTCTTTGCCTTTATCCCTCTATCTCATATCCCGTCCCTTCTGTATCTGTTAAATGGGGACGGATGGAGATAGGGTGAGGGATAAAGAAGGAATAGAATGAGATGCGGAAAGGCATTCCTGCAACTCATGTAATCTCTGGTATAATCCCATGCCTTTCCTATCTTCTCCTTCCACGTCCTAAGAGCTCCCGAAGCAATGAGGAAGAGCGAGAGGAAGGAAATAATAAAAGACAAATCTAATGACACATACTAATAAAACGATAACAGTAAATCATACAATTCAAGATGAACATGTGTGAGAATTCTCTTCCAAGCACCTCCAAGCCCAGAAATTACTTTTGGGAGATAAAAAGCATTAGACATTAATTCATCTTGGTTATTTGCCTCGCCACCGTGTGTCTTCTGTAAAATCCTTTACTTTACGTTTGCTTTTGTGTCTATTTCTTCTTTCTTCCAAAAATCCACTTTTCTATCCTTCATCTTTTACCACTCTTTTTCAACCGCTGGTGAAGGATCTTGGTCTCAGGGTCAGATGGTAGGCGGGAGATATAAGTCTGTCCTTTTCATTCATGTTATCTCTTTTTATGGCACCTCCGGCATTAGCGAGGAGTGGACAAGGAATGCGACATAAAGATCTGGAGCTCGTGAATTACACCGTCTATAGACGAGTCCAAGAGATAACAGATATTATTGATTGGTCTTTCCCTTCATATCAGTCTTGCATCCATTATCATAATGCTTGTTTGGATGAAATGGTGATGAGATAAGGTAGGATACTTTCATTCCCTTCATGTCCCGTCCAAAATGAGCAATACATAATTAGAAAAAGAGACGGGACAAAGAAGGCCATTATCCTAACTCCTTCCCTCGACATCTCTTCGTGCTTCCAGCACGCTTCTTGGAGAGGTCTAGGAGAGGAAGAGGTCCATCATATCATTCCCTTTGTCCTTTCTCACCTCACAAATACACCAATCCGGATTAGGGAAAGATGGAGGTGAGAAAGAGGTAAGACAAATGAATGGAAAGGAAGATGATAAGAAATGGACAGTTAGTATGAAGGAAACCCTCTGGAGACAATTATCACTTACCTCCTTTCCTTCTTTCATTCTCCGATTAACCGGTAGGTGGTAGAGGATCCAGATGGTAAGAATATATATTTCTTCTGAACGAGAATTAGTTGTTGCCAAACATGTCCTTACAAGGAATCTTACGAGGCAATACATGCATTCTAACAAAGACTCTTACATCCGTAAGATTCTCACAAGGCTTACAAATATTCCCAGCACTCTTACAAAGGCCTGTACAAGTATTCTTATAAGGCGCAACAAGGACTGTTGCAGGCCTTAGAAGGACTCTTACAAGGACGATGTTTACAATGAATCTTACAAGGGCTAACCTCCAATTTCACTTACCCGACCTGACGGGGAACGGATCCTAGCAAAAAAGTAAGCTCACTTGCTCAAAGGACCTAGACACATCAGTTTACTTTGTTGGGACCACCCCCAGTGGATCAATGGACAATGGACACCAACAAAAATAAAACGAGGGATTTGAACAAAGCGCTGCGGCCGAAAGGGGCCGAAACATGCATCGGCTGTGGCCAGCGCGGCTCAATGCCCCCCGCCCCCCTATGTGCCGCTTCACGATGCCCGGCGTTTATTGGAACTTGCGCTATCCTTGCCAAGGGGTAGCCACATTGTTCTTTTCCTCGGAGGTGGCTTGGGGGTGAATATTCATAGATCTACAAACCCTGCCATGTATCCAACAGCTGAAGCAATCAGACCCCCAAGTAATGGACCTGCATGATGAAGCTTGGAATGCTTCCATCTCCAGAAATGTCATTCTGCGCTCGGGCCTTGTTGTTGGCCAACTTGCAGAAGCAGTCAGCGGCGAATCCCTCGTAGTCATAGTAGCACCTAGCAAAATAAAAAGAGTGAGCAACTCGCAAATGCGCAGGTTTTCCGACAGAAAAGACCTGTACGACTTGGCTTTCATGTGAGGCAGATTCTACGGATATCGGCAGCTAGTGCTTAAGGCGTCTACCCGTCTACCCAAACGCATGAGAGGACTCAAAAGGGCTTCTTGCCACACCCGAGCCTTTTTGTGGCAAGCAGGGACACTTCCGTTTGAATCTTGCCAACGCAATCCAGAATCCAGAACATGCCCCGGGAAGATCCGCTTTGGTGCTTGCTGAAAAGTTGCACTGTGAGTGGGCGACAAGAAGCATGAAAGTGGCTCACAAGACACAATTATAATATGATTGTCAATGGAAAGTGAGCGAAGAGAGAGATGAAAGGAGATCCGACCCCCTGTCCAGTTCTTTCTCGTGGTTACAAATGATTTCTTCTTCCTTCATCTCTGCTCATATCCTTTCCTTTCTCCACTGTAGCTCATGAAATGTAATGACATGCTGTGTCTAAAACCTTGACTAAGCCACGAGTTTCATGGTGTAGTACGAAAAGAAAAGGTTAACCGCTATCCCACATTTGAGGGCAGGGAATTGCTCTCTGTGTCTCCCACATTTGGGGAAATCCTAGACACAACGGTGAAATGTATGAGGGAAGGAAAAGAAAAGAGATGAAGGAAGAGGGTGGCCTTCCTTCTCCTCACCGGAAGGAATTGCTTGGAATGAAGGGAAATCCATCCATCCTGATCCTATCATTCATCATTTGGAATGAATGGGTTCGGAAAATTGGGTTCCTTCGCTATCCCAGACGTAGGAAAAGGCTGGCGGGTCCTTGCTCTCCCCCACTATCCTATTTCCTGTTCATCAAGCTAACGCTTCAAGAGATTGTGTCCCATCATTCATCCCATTATCCAATCACTCCCTGTATCGTTGGTACAGCGGATGGGGGTAGCACGGAGAACTAAATAGCTCATGCACTGGCTTTAAAGCCCTTGAATTGTTGGCTAATACGGGGTGCGGACCTGAGCAGAGACGAGAGATTAAGAACCATTGTGTTTATGTATCGTTCGCCAGCATTTCATGATCGAACATGCGGAGCATAAGATATCCACCCAAAAGATGTGTTTCCTTTTTTTCCTTCTTAAAGTCATTCTGTATATAACCTCAAAAGGTCAAAGTCCCGTGTCAACTCTGGCGAAACTCCTGGGCTCCTCACACTGACGCCGTGGATGGCGCATATCTGCTGCTGCCTGGCAGTTTGAAGGGCCCCCGCTTCAACAAGGGACCTGGGCACTCCTGGGACACGGAAGTGCACAGACTTCCTCGCCAAACAAAGCGTCGTCTTCAAACAAGGCGCTCGGAGCCCTACCATGTTTGTAAGTGGCAAGATAGCTTTTGAACCATGACCAACACTGGATTAAAAATACCATTGTTTCTGCGCATGTGTGGCAGGCTCGTTCGGTGAGCTGCAAACGTATTTCTATTCTAAGGGGACTTTCGGGTAACTTGGCTCACGGGGATGGTTGCTTTCGTTCAATGCCTTGACCTGGCCAATGGTCAACTATTGCCTGGGCTTGGTTTGCTAGATATAGCGAGATAGATAGCGAGATAGATAGTATGAACATAGGTAGAAAATGAGATACATAGGTAGAAATAAAGAAATACACAATGAAAACAGGAAGAAAAGGAAGAAGGACAAAAGGAAACAAAAAAAATGAAAACCGCTAAATAAAGGCAGCCGGACACGAATAAATAAAAGCAACAGAAAGCAAGAAGGAAAACAACAAAGAACTAAAGAAAACAATCCGGAAAGAAAGACAGAAAGAAAGGACAAATAAATTAAATGAAGAAAGAAAGACAGAACGAGGAAGACACGAACAACAAGCAAAGAAAGAAAACGCAAAGAGAGAAAAACAAAGAACGAAACAAAAAAAGAAAGAACAAAGACAGAAATAAAGCAGATAAACAAGAACATGTTGCAAAACGGACATAAATGAAGCTGGAACAAAAAGAACAAATGCAGAGAAAGAAAGAAGCGAAAAGCATGAGCAATGGCAAGCAGCAAGTCTGCAAATCCTTTAAGAACAAAAACAACAATTAACTACTATAGTTTGGGACGGGCGTTGGCCTCTTTGTCTGTGAGCTCAACATCTTTCAGAACTAGCTATAAATTCCCAGGAACTATTCAGAAATGTGGTCCTAAAACAGCACCAACAATATCCCATTTAGAAATTATCAGGGGCTACGCAAAAACTGGCCCAAAGGCGTCCTAACATGGCCCAAACCCCAGACGTCAGCGATTGCAACTTTTAGCTCCGCACCTCTGCGCTGCTCACAGCGAGCACTAGACTAGTGGCCAGAGCCAATCTGGGGCGCCAGTCGTTTTTATCTTCTGGGCGCGGTTGGTCTGCATCCCTATGAGTTGCGATGGTTCCCCTGATTTCTCTGCGCACCCAAAACATGGCACCCGTTTCAGTGGTCTACGTTAGGAATAACTCCCCACAAAGTAGGAACAAGTACAAATAGAAATACTTCCGTGTAATTTGCAAAGTGGTTGTGTGTAAACTTAGAAATAGTTCTGCAAACTGACAACCTCCCTCACGGAAAGCCAAAATAAGGAGGCGATTGCTAGTCCCAAACTGAGTTCCTTTCTTTTTAAAACTTGCGCCCACCGCCTTCGCCGGCTCTACTGGTAGTCGTGGTAGTATGTAGGAAGTAGCGTGTAAGGAAGCACCAGCAGTTCTTGCAGTATATGAGAAGACCTTAGTCACCCAGCCGCCTTCGTCAGACATACCGTCATGTGCTCTGTTCGGAGGTTAGAAGAGGCTGGTGCTTTCCACGTGTGGTTGATGTTTGCCAAGGTCGGATGCAAATCAACACAGTTTTGCATCGATGGCTGGATATAGTACCATGATCGACAGAATAACCTAGCCTAGCAAGCATATGAACATCAGATGCACATACTGTGCCACATCTCGAACAAAGTCAGCACAACAAATGACATATGCCACATCTCAGACAATCTCGAAATGCGCAAAGCAACAACCAGAAAAGCCATCCAACCATAGGTTGCCTTTTGCAAAAACAGATGGCCTTGGTAAGTGGAAGAAACCCCCTCTAAACCAGTGGAACCAAACTATGTTTAACCAAACTCACCCAAAAAGGACACCTATGCATCCATCACCTGATTGGAAGTGTTGGGCTCCCTCCGGATCCGCAAGGCCTTGCCAGTGCCAGCTGTGGCTGTCATCCACATCATCGACCACCTCTCTGGCGGAGATAGCTTGGCATACCCGCGGGAGAAAAAAAAACACGCAGAGGTAGAAGACCTGAGTTTTACTAGGGCACCCTGTTGTGGACATCATTCAGCTGGGGATTCATGTCCACCAACCACTTGAACCACTTGTGAGGTAGTACTTTGACAACTCATAGCCATATTACGAGACGCTGACAATATTGCTACCGCAAACCGATGCCCAACAATCTGCATTTGTCACAGGGGCCTACCCAAGATCGATACCCTGGCAATATTGTGTATTGCTCTCATATCACCAATTTTCAGAAGATCCCCTTTCCAGTTGGCATGGCAGGTGCAGGAAACACGGGTGCATGCACCCTCCGTAGGTTGAATGATCTAGTGGCCTCCCCAGGAAAGGCATTCTTATTAAATCCAGTGGTACAAACATGGTACACCATCCCAAGAACTCGCAAAGGTTGGCCAAGGTATCCTCCAATCACTGACATTCCTGGTCTCCACTTGACACCCAAGCGTTTCCCCATTCCAAAGCCTGGGCGCAAAGGCTCCACTCATACCGCTACACTGCGTCGCTTTGACTTTATAAAATGGCCTCTGCGCATGCACCTCCTTTTTCCTTGGCGCAACTACTCCATCTATCCATGCACCCGTATTCCACAGGAGCCGTGCACGAAAAAACTGTGACGCACATCATCTGCATGTTGTGCGTGTTTGGCGAATCCTCAAACACCATTGTTGTTTGAACAAGCGTGTGGTGTGATTATCTTTTGCGCTTTGAAAGGGTGGCCAGTCACATGTTATTATTGTTGTTTTTGTGCTCTCATTGACCCCCAGAGGCTAACAAAAGTGTGGTTTGGTTTGTTAATCGGAACATGTTTCAGCATAATTAATTTCCAAGTTGTTGGCACATCAGTCTCGCCGATCAGCATGTCCCTGTCACCCCTGCCAGACTGACCCGCCTCAGAAACAAAGGCAGATGGAGAAGAGGCAGGTCCATGTGTTGAGAAAACCCTCCCCTCCCCAGAACGACTCAAGGCGGGCACTCGCAGCATGTTGTTGCTCTGTTTTTCTCTTGTCTTTCTCTTTCTCTGTCGGTCTTGTTGACCTTGCAAGCAGCCACGACTTCAAAGCGGCCATGCCAACAAAACCGATCACCAACGTCTTGTCAGCGCGAAACTCCCGGTCGTCCGCCTGCACTTGTCCGTGCTGCTGTCGAGGCTGCAAAGGCCTGGCAGCAAAGAAACGGTAGAAACCCGCGGGACGTTTTTTGGGTGTTGTAGATCCCCCAGCAAAAAGTTTAACTTTGTGCTGGATAAAAGGAAATATGAAGGGAATCCAAAAAGTTAAAGTCTAAAGATCCATCAGAATAGCGGTGGAGATTTCTGCAGGACATTCGCAAACTCAAGTCTTTTCTTGCAGTTGCGATAGGCAGGGATTGCGAATTGGAATGACCCTTGTAAAACATCCAAGTGGTAGTTTCCATTAAGACCCAAACCACTCCAAGCCACCCAATCCACCCAAACCACCCATATCACACCCACCACCCAAACCACTCCAAGCCACCCAATCCACCCAAACCACCCAAACCACCCATATCACACCCACCACCCAAACCACCCAATCCACCCATATCACACCCACCACCCAAACCACTCCAAGCCACCCAAACCACCCAAACCACCCAATCCACCCAAACCACCCAAACCACCCAAACCACCCATATCACACCCACCTCCCAAACCACTCCAAGCCACCCAAACCACCCAAACCACCCAATCCACCCAAACGGAATCCCTGGGTTTCCCACATGCCCTGCTGAGCACCAGCAAGTTTTGATCAGTGTTTGTCTTGTCCAGCAGAATTTCCTGTGGAAGAAAGGAAAGGAAGATCATTGGCACGTGTGGCAACATTATTCTTCCTTCCCAGTTTCTGGACTCTTTACTCTTTAAAAATGCCGTTTTAGTGGTAACACAAAATCCGACTATCTTGGCCAGTCCACTTCCTTATTGGGCAAGTCTTTTTTTGCGAGCGATGAGCCAAAATCCGACCTTTTTTGGGGGTGCTTGCTCATGTAGCATTGGCTGCGAGCAAACCGACACTGCCAAACCAACCCCTCCCCCCGAAAAGTAGACACTTAGGGTCTATTTGTCCAATCTCCTTCATTTAGGGTACTGGTCTTTTAGGGGTACCAAGCTGCGAATATTAAATCGACTCTCATCCATGGCAGCCCTTCGCCCCAAAGGCCCAATGGCTTTGGCCCCACCTCACGTCAATAACTCCTTGGACTCTTTCTAGCTCCGGGGCTGGCAGGAACTGCCGCTGAACAGGCGCAGCCGACACCTGCCCGTCGAGCCCTCGCGAGACGGACTCCCATCCTCCGACCCTCGTCTTCCCGCCCCATCTGGATGAACCGCACACCCATGATTCCAACGATGGCAGCCCTACCCTGATCTACATCATGCTTATACGTTCTATCTGCCTTTTGGTGTTTGTGACCTGGAAAAAAAACAGGGGAAACAACACAAAACACCCTCAAACAACACCCCCTCCATATGTAAATCCGCTGCGATCCGCCGCGCCAGCCGCACCGCGCGCCTGGCTGTCCTGAAACCGTGCCGCCCGCATCAACAGCGCCGCCCCGACCAGGGTGATCGAGACCTCGAACCCGCGCTCGCTTCTTTGCGAGTCGAAAGATCGAGCCTGCCTGGCTCTCTCCCGGGGTCCGTTTGGAAAACACATGGCACTGGGACCATAGGTGTCCTTTCTGGTTGATTTGGTCTAAAAATAGAGGGCGACTCCTGTTTTACCTGGTGGTTCGATCAACTACCAGGGCCATCTATTTTCCCCAAAAGGACACCTATCACTGGGACATGATTGGAAACAAACCAAAATTCAATGCAGGTGTCCGGTCTGTATCCATATCAGGTTGAAGCGGTTGAAGGCGGATGGTCAAAGGACAATCTGGTCTTGTTCACTTTGCTACTGAACACATTGTCGTCCCGAAATCGGAAACCCCTTCCGGTTTTACTTCTTCTGGCCTGCCCAGATAGAGTCCTTAAAACGTTGCCCTCCAAAAAGGACACAAAAGTGAATCACGTAGACTAGCCTAGGTCCTCCAGTAGAGAGGTTAGAATATGTTAGAATAAGGCTGCCCGATTCTTGTTTCTGTAGTCTATTTTAGTAGGGGAACCCTCCCCAAAACAAGTTGGTAAAAGGGCACTACTTGGGGGCCTTGTAGCCCAAAAGAGCAATCCTGAGACTATGGAGCCATCCGGAGACTTGGAAAAAAAGGTTCGGCAAGCAATCCATCCCCTGGAGGAATCCCCAGGAAGAATCCCCTTGACCTTGATTTTCGAGTCAAAATTGCGAGGACATGGGAAACTTAGAGATTCGTACTGGTTCCCTCCAAATAGACCATGGACTGGAAAGGTTGACCCAACCCACCACGGTCCCATGGCTGGAAGATGCTCAATGTCCGCGGATGAAAGCGTTCCCCCCCAAAAGGTGAAGGACTGAGCATCTGAGTTATGACACAAGGCTTGCTCAACATGGGATCTCCAACTATCCGACATCCGTAGCGGGGCACAAGAGAAACCACCCAATCTGGGCTGTCCTCAAATCCCCTGCTAAAAGTTTAACTTCTAGTGGGCCAAATTGACACCCCCCCACTAAACCAGCTAAAAAGCAAGAAAGCAAAAAAGCTAAGGAGCCCGATAGCTCCTAAGCCACCCAGCACTTCTCTGGCAAGATCTGGATTGGCTCAAAGCAGCCCGAGGGCCCTGCGAAGGCGCAGGTCTGACAACACCTGCGCGATGGCCCGGCTGAGTACGCCCTCGACTGGACCACATGGAATGGCCCCACCCCCGGCTGAAAGGGTTCCCAGTCTCAGTTGCCTCAGAAAGCGACCCAGAAATAAAAGGTGATCACCTTGTGGGCCACTAAACATAGACCAACATGAATGAGAGAACCAAAAAGTCTCTTCTCAGGTCGCTTTAAAGACAACTCTCAGCAGAAGCTTCTTGGATCCATCTCTCAACCCCCTGGCCTGCCCATGCTGGAGGCGACATCCTGCGCTCTGACTCCAGTTTGGGCATCGGCCCAGGGAGTTTGGGCCTTCTGAAACTCATGGCGACCAAGGAGCATCGGTCCCCTTGGTGGTTGGCTTGGGAACCACACCAAGCCGCCATTGAGGGGGATGTGGAAAGAAGGGCACATCAAATACATGCACAGTGGAACTGCACTCTCCTTCCCGGAATCTGAATCCCTTTCGCCCCCGTCCAAAATCAAGCTAATCAATTGTGGCTTGAAGCACCAGAAGACTGACAGCATCTTGCTTGCCCAGTAATAAGCCTAAACTGGTAGTTTCACTGCGTGTGTCAGGTGGGGAAAGCCTGCTGGGGGGGGGGGGGGGAGGGGGGCGGGCTTCCTAGCTTTCCCAAAGGATGTATCGCCGCCCCGTCTTTGGCACGGAAAGGGTGCCAATGTTGCTCCCCAAGCAATGCATCACTTTCGTTCCGTTCAGATGCGCCCTTGCAGAGTTCTTCACTCGATGGGCCCGTTCCCTGCGCTAGCCACCGTCACATGATTTAGGCTGAACAATGGGGGGCTGAGGCAAGCCAACATTGAGGCAAAGCAATCCGAAGTGTGTCAAGGCGAAGAACAGGCGTGATAATCCAAACAGGTCAGCAACAGTACACCGGAAACCCCACCCTGCCAGAGAATAGCCTCGCTCGGTGCATACTTTTGTTGAGCTCAGTTCCGGAGCCAAATTAACCATGATATACAGCTCTATTATACACGGGGCGCAAAACATGGCAGTCCACAAGAAACTGGACCTTTTCACCGAGCCTACTGTAAGCTGGGTAACACACCGGTGGCAGTATTGTCAGCCAACTACATCGCATGTCAACACAGAGAGTTGTGTGTTGGATGCCTACCTTCAGATCGATGTGGGCAGCTTTGCAGACTGAAAATCAGCCCTTTCTATCCAACTGAAGGCACGGAAAAACATGCCAATCATCAATGTCCATTTCTGGGGCCTGAGTGCATGTCCGACGCACAAGGTTCGAATTGTGTGGCCCTCTTCGATCAAGAAACATTCCAACAAGCAACTTCAATACTGCCATCTTAAGTGGGAACATAGACGAGAAAACCAAAACCAAGGGTTTTTTGTTCAAGCAACCAACCCTATGGCAGCTCGTCTTGTTGTTGATCTTGTGGCGCGACCCTCCCAACAGACAAATGCAGGGAGGCAAATGAAGTGACATTTCACACAGTCTAAGCTTTTGGGCCTTGACTTATTAATCAGGGATCCTTACATTATACACCTGAACATTGCCTTGTAAATGGTGGGTGTCCCTTTATTTTGGTGGAAAAAGCTATGTTTCAAATGGGCAAAATGTATCTTTTAAGGAGCCCTGCTTATCTACATATTGGTTTTTTTTGATTGAACCCCAGGTTTGCTGGAGCTTTCGCGCCACCTTCCAGAAGGGTATGGACCGGGAGTTCGGACCAGCGAGTGGATTGATTGGCCAACAGAAGTCGAAGGGACTTTTTGGCGCTCAAGATGGTCTTGCTTTAGAACATCAGAACCCTCGGAACTCAGAACTTGGCAAGACGAAAAGACTCCCTTCGAGCCCTCCGCTCCTCATCTTCGGGCGACCTCACCGGCGACCTTGAGAGCTGCACGTGCTGGATTCTCAGGGGCCCGATGAACTTCGAGCCAGCGACAAGGCTCGCAGATTCTATGTTGTTCATAATTCCGAAGCTGAACTCCAGCCACAAGGCCTGCACAATTGAAGACATGTTGCTATAATTGCAAGGCTGAACTAAGGGATGCCCAAGTAAAGGATCTTTACCATTGCGCCATACGTTAGGCAGATGTGCATGCGCTTCCCCTGAACCCAACGCATGTTTCTGGCACAACGATGGCACATATTTTGAGGGCGACTTCCGTCCTGCAAGCGTTTATGGGAAATCAGGGCACTCGTCGAATCTGCAGGAGACCTCAGGTGGGCTTTTGGACAAATTGCTGTGTTTCCTTAGTAAATAGGGCATAAAACCAGTCTAAACCACTGGAACCCATCTATTTCTCACCAAAGCAATCAAGCAAAAGGACACCTATGCTTCCGACAAAAGGCACAACTTCCTGGGTGTCTGGGTGTCAGGCTACTAATCACTTCCCAACGAACCGAGCAAAAACAACACACGTCACTTCCGCCCGCAAGCCGCTCGCCTGGTGCCCATCAGGGACAGGTTCTCGGAGCTCTTGGGGCTTCCTGGAGAGGTTAGGAAGAACAAAAAGGACATGGGTGAAGTGGACATCTTTCTCCGGCGACCCATGTGCTTTCAGTGAATTCTCATTGAGGATTTGTTTGGTGAACATGTTTCCGGCGACCCCTGTTCTTTCCGGCACGCACACACTGTACCACTGCACCACAGAGTGTAATTATCAAATGTATCCGCCTGTTCGGGCCCTGGTTTTCGGTGGCTGCAAGGTTGACTTTCAGAACAACAAACACCTCGTGATCACCTTAACAAGCAAGTTTCCCCAATCAAGGGGACTCGGCCTGAAAAGGGACAAATATAGAGACCCCTGCCCATCAGTCCCAGTGGTCAAACATGGAGGGACCAGTGCCAAGTGCTACTCAGTCCCCTCATCTCTCTCATCGTCCTGACGGCATTGGTTCTCCGAAGTGAAACAATGTGCCGACTTTGCAGCACCTGGCTATGTCTTCGTATCGTGTGGTATGGTGTCAAAGGCAACCACCTCAGGGGCTCGACAATGTGGAGACACGCCTGCCTCAAGATCGGCGTGTTGGCATCATTTGGTCTTTGCAAGTGCGGCTGCAGTGACTTGATGCGAATTCACTGCCTGTGCTGTTGAGTGCAGAGTCTGCTCCCATCTGCTCCCCATCGCTCCGCTGGCTTGAGACTGCCTCCAATAATTGAATGATTGGCTGGAACATCTCTGGGCCCATGCTGCCAGTGGAGAGAGATGAGTTCACTGAGTAAAAAACACCAAGAGTGAGGGGGGGGGGCATCCTCCCATCCTCCCATCCTCCCACCCACCACGTGTGCAGGATCAGCTGCCATTCAACTTTGAACTCCCCCAAACATAAAATCAGCTTCCCTCCAACTGATGGTTTGGCTTTGGTAGTTGGGGGGGTGGTTGGCAATTAACCCCCTAGGAGCTCAAATCCCAAGCCGCCAATCCAAACCAACCTGACGGGTTACATGACAAGAGCAAGCCCGCACGCAACGCGTATCGATTCTTTTCTCCACCTGCATGCGCTAAAGCTTCGCATGCAGAGGGATGGCCCAAATGACTAGCGACTCGTCCACCCGTGTGATATGACCCTTTTACTGGGCATTTTTCCTATTTGTCCTGTCGTTGAAATCCTTGACGCCACTGTACAAAAGCCTTTCAGCATTCAATGAACGGCCCATTCCTGGACCCCTGCCCTGCAAATCGGGATTTGTATGATCCCTGGTCAATATCTCTGAATAGCACATGATTGCACTTTGCTTCACGTCCTCCGACAACCTGTCTAAAGTGTCCTATGATTAAAAGATACTGTGCTTTCCAGCCAACTTCCCTAGGGTGTCATCGAGTCTTTCTTTTAGACCATCCCAACAGGCGCCAAAGAGCGCTTCCTTGTTCGGCTCCTGTTTTTTTCGAAGGCCAAACGGATTGGCGGGAGGTGGCTCCACTCGCCTTTCTCTCCAGTGCTGGTTGCAGTTGCAGTGCATGAATGAACGCTCTTATCTTCTTGAATAAGCAGGTCGGCTTCATACAATTGATGCAACACGTTGAATGCACTTAGTAGCTCTTCTGATGCGCTTCAACGTGCTTCATTGCATGCTCATGGCCCATACAGCAATTTTCAGTTGGCCCATCACGGCCGGAGTCGCGCAGACCCCGCGCAGAAACCGCGCGCTAAAAGCAAGGGAGCGTGCTCACGTCGGGCGCACGGCTTGTCACCGCAAAGGCGAGTCCGTGTAGAGAGACCAGTCACCCCAAGCAGACCCAGTCAGTCCATCCTGCCATTTCAGATGCAGCACAACCTCCTTGAACCATGCATGTGTTAAGACCGAGTCTTCCCTGATGACAGGGTCTAACCTTTTGCAGCTTGGATGGAAAAAACAGTTGCTTCGAAAAGATCTAAGGGGATACCGTCACACCAAAGACGAGACATCAAACTCAGAAAAAAAAGGCTTCCTTCACAGCAATCACTGCCGATTGGTGGCAACTCAATTCTCGCCTGAAAGAACATGCCGATGATTGCCATCATTGCCTTGCGTGCTGTCGATGACGAAACAAATGCTGGCGAAAACAGCACATCAGTGATACCTAGATTCAGCCAACAAGCAAACCTCAACAAGCATTTCACATGATGCAAATGGCAACATATAATTTCATAGAACACGACTGTCAAAACCACTCAACACTAGCTTGTAGCAGTTCTACTCCGTCCATATGTCCTTGCCGACAGGGTGCCAAACGTCCGTTGGCAAGCTCGGCGCTAAGCTTGCGCTTCCGTCCCTCTTCGTCGGAGGCAGTGAGCAACTTCCATCCGTATGAGCCCGGTTCGCCCTTGTACTTGTACACGCTGAGCTCATAGTATCCAGCAAAGGCAACAATCTGAGCCCAACCGTTCCCTGGGACCTTTGTAATAGCTGCCAAACCATTTGGGATGTCGCTGAATTTCAGGCCCATCGACGGCGAAAGGTAGCCAGGCCATTTGAAGTACTCTGGCACGATGTACCCCATTGTGGCCTGTGCTCAACCATCTCACAGAATATCTGTCAACGCCTGCCTAAATTAAGCCTCTGCAAACTTGTCAGTGCCTGTTATCTTCAGACACATATCCAAGAAAGTTAACACCTGCTGAAACTCACGCCAGGAGACATACATGGCCACCCGGCCGTGCTTGATCTCAGTCTCCCTGCGGCGCTTGAAGGTAGTCACATCGCCGTCGCGAGTGTAGCCAACGGGATCCCAGAATCCGACCGGCGGCTGCACGCCAAGTTCGTTCTCGAATGCTCGAAGGGGTGAATCAGTGTACAGCGACCAGTCACCCCAGGCAGAGCCGGTCAAGCCATCCTGCAGGAAGACGGCTGTGAACTTTAGCTGATTTAAGTGCAAGTGTTTGCGTGAGTTCAGCCAAAAGAAGCTATGTGAGATTACAACGCAACTAGCGCTAGTTGCCCGCCTGAAAGAACATGCCGATGATTGCCATCATTGCCTTGCGCGCTGTCGATGACGAAACAATTGCTGGCGAAAACAGCACATCAGTGATACCTAGATTCAGCCAACAAGCAAACCTCAACAAGCATTTCACATGATGCAAATGGCAACATATAATTTCATAGAACACGACTGTCAAAACCACTCAACACTAGCTTGTAGCAGTTCTACTCCGTCCATATGTCCTTGCTGACAGGGTGCCAAACGTCCGTTGGCAAGCTCGGCGCTAAGCTTGCGCTTCCGTCCCTCTTCGTCGGAGGCAGTGAGCAACTTCCATCCGTATGAGCCCGGTTCGCCCTTGTACTTGTACACGCTGAGCTCATAGTATCCAGCAAAGGCAACAATCTGAGCCCAACCGTTCCCTGGGACCTTTGTAATAGCTGCCAAACCATTTGGGATGTCGCTGAATTTCAGGCCCATCGACGGCGAAAGGTAGCCAGGCCATTTGAAGTACTCTGGCACGATGTACCCCATTGTGGCCTGTGCTCAACCATCTCACAGAATATCTGTCATCCCGCGTGACTCACGCCTGCTTAAATTAAGCCTCTGCAAGTTGTCAGTGCCTGTTGTCTTTAGACACATATCCAAGAAAGTTAACACCTGCTGAAACTCACGCCAGGAGACATACATGGCCACCCGGCCGTGCTTGATCTCAGTCTCCCTGCGGCGCTTGAAGGTAGTCACATCGCCGTCGCGAGTATAGCCAACGGGATCCCAGAATCCGACCGGCGGCTGCACGCCAAGTTCGTTCTCGAATGCTCGAAGGGGTGAATCAGTGTACAGCGACCAGTCACCCCAGGCAGAGCCGGTCAAGCCATCCTGCAGGAAGACGGCTGTGAACCTTTAGCTGATTTAAGTGCAAGTGTTTGCGTGAGTTCAGCCAAAAGAAGCTATGTGAGATCACAACGCAACTAGCGCTAGTTGCCCGCCTGAAAGAACATGCCGATGATTGCCATCATTGCCTTGCGCGCTGTCGATGACGAAACAAATGCTGGCGAAAACAGCACATCAGTGATACCTAGATTCAGCCAACAAGCAAACCTCAACAAGCATTTCACATGATGCAAATGGCAACATATAATTTCATAGAACACGACTGTCAAAACCACTCAACACTAGCTTGTAGCAGTTCTACTCCGTCCATATGTCCTTGCCGACAGGGTGCCAAACGTCCGTTGGCAAGCTCGGCGCTAAGCTTGCGCTTGCGTCCCTCTTCGTCGGAGGCAGTGAGCAACTTCCATCCGTATGAGCCTGGTTCGCCCTTGTACTTGTACACGCTGAGCTCATAGTATCCAGCAAAGGCAACAATCTGAGCCCAACCGTTCCCTGGGACCTTTGTAATAGCTGCCAAACCATTTGGGATGTCGCTGAATTTCAGGCCCATCGACGGCGAAAGGTAGCCAGGCCATTTGAAGTACTCTGGCACGATGTACCCCATTGTGGCCTGTGCTCAACCATCTCACAGAATATCTGTCATCCCGCGTGACTCACGCCTGCTTAGATTAAGCCTCTGCAAGTTGTCAGTGCCTGTTGTCTTCAGACACATATCCAAGAAAGTTAACACCTGCTGAAACTCACGCCAGGAGACATACATGGCCACCCGGCCGTGCTTGATCTCAGTCTCTCTGCGGCGCTTGAAGGTAGTCACATCGCCGTCGCGAGTATAGCCAACGGGATCCCAGAATCCGACCGGCGGCTGCACGCCAAGCTCGTTCTCGAATGCTCGAAGGGGTGAAGCCGTGTAGTTGGCCCAGTCGCCCCAGGCGGAACCGGTCAAGCCATCCTACGGAGGTGACTGAAACAAACAATTACTCGCTGAACGGAAGATGCGCATGACACCCCCAACAGAGGGCACCTGCAAAGGATGACTCCTCCGCCAGGCTCTTACCGCTCCATGTCTTATTTCTCGATTTGCGCTGCATGTTGCAGCTTCTCTTGGGGTTGTTCTTCTGGTTTCCCTAGTGAAGGTCCACAAGGTTTGGACAAGCCCGCAACTGACATGTTTGGAGGATCCCTGATCAATGCGGGTTCTCCGGTCCTCGTCCTTTTACTTCTCCAAACAGGAACCTGGAGAACCTCTTTAGTCCTTGCCTTCTTGGCCCATGGTAATGTGATTTTAGTTGGCAACAGCAGCTTTTTGTTTTGAGCCCAAAAGGCCCTGATGAATCGCGGGGGGCTTTCTGTCACTGAGGGGGGCAAACGGCAAACCTTGCTGGCCCCTTACTTTTGTACTGGTGGGAAGCTGGGCGCCAAAAGGGGAAACCTATAATCAGGGCGTTGACTAATCCACTGACATTAACTACTGCTATTTCTGACCAACTCATTTGGCGTACCTGGTAAGAGCTGGTCAACTTGCGGTGCACAAATCTCACGGTGGTCGCCACTGGCTTCCACTTCACAAGTATCGGCCAGGGTTGGGCCTACCACCTAGTTGGATACAAGTAAGTGGCGGACAAAATCCTTCACTCAACAAGTTGGGTGGTTCTCTACCTGTTCTCAGCGTTTTGAGGTAACATAAAGGGTATCGATTTTGGGCGGCACCCATCGGTTTTGCGGACTTTGGCTGATGCTGACTCCGAGCCGCCCCAAATTCTACTGAAAACCAGTGATTTGGTCGGACACGATATAGCTGCTGGCCCTGAACAGCCTGAACTCTTAAGACAAACTGCCAAAACTGCTCAAAGCAAACTCCAAGGAGACCGACTGCAAGTTCTACTTTGCAGGTAATTCTGGTTGCAACATACAACAACAATATACGAATCAAATTCCAATGAATTGAAAATATATGCTGCGCATGTGTGCTCTATCCCAGACCTGGAAGAACATGCCGATGATCGCCATCATGGCCAGTCTGCCGTTGGCCAACTCCGCGTTGAGCTTCTTTTTTCGCAGCTCTGGGTCGGTGATACCGGTGTTCCTGAGATCGAAAAATCAGTTGCCCGGGTGCAGCCAGTGAAACGCAGCTTAAAAACATGAAACATTTAGTAGGGGAACCCTCCCCCAAAAAAGGGTAAAAGGGCACTACTGGGGGACCTAGGTGGGGAACTGTCAACCCAAACATGGATTGGGAGGGTGCCACTTTTCATTCGGGCTTCGGGGCGAAAGCCTGCAGAGATCTGCGGACAGATTTCTCCAACAGAACCTTGAGTGCGAGTTCAGCCTTGTCCATGTGCCCCTTGATTCTCCGAACCCTCCCGAACATACCGTTTCCACGTGTGCAATGAACCTGTGAATACCGTACCTCCTTTTTCGCTCTAGTTCTGGAAGGGCGTTCACTATGGCTGGTTCCTTTTCTGTTTGGGTTGGTGACAACCAACAGCAATCACCAAAACTTGAATTGATGATTCCTGACCTCTCAGTTGCAGGGGTGATGAGCTGTATCGTCCATGTGTCACAGCGAAGCATTTCGGCAAATGATGTATGTGAACCTGAGGCAACACCCCGCTCACAAAAACACATCATGACCTCATTTACCCCAATCCAGCCCATGATTTGCCCTAGCCATCCCAAAGCCAAGCAAGGCTTGGAGCTTACCAAACTCACCGAAGGCTCCACCCACTTTGGTTTCTATTGGATGTTTCCTTTTTTTGGGACCCCCCCCCAAAACAAGGTGGGTTCTTCTATTGGTGGAGACCACAAAACGGCGTACCTTCAAAAAAAGACAGCCCTTGATGATTGAAGTGGGGCCAGCTACACCCAAACCGTGCATGCCAAACTTCCATTTGCTCAAGTCCCCGGGAAAAAAAAAACACGAATCCAGCAGTGATAGATTCTCTTTCAGACCAACCGGGGGAAATCACAAATATTCCTAAACAAATGGCGAAGCCAAGAACTCGTTGCTCCGAGCATCATGATACCGACGGATCGAAGGCCCAAAAAGCCAGCGCCGTAGTTGCCAGGCTCATCGTTGATCTGCTCGTTGTAGATGTTCAGCTCCACGATGCCTGCTGTCAACTGAATTCCGTCCTTCCGAAGGCCCGAATTGTGTTGTTGCGAAGCCCATACCTACCTTCCAGTAGGCGCCAATGATTGTGTGCGAAGCCCAAACAAAGCAACGAATCATTTGTTGTGCCGTCCCCAACCTAGATCAAGCGAACTAGTGTCACCAAGCAGCATTCGAAACGCCCAAGCAATAAAAAGAAACATGTCCAGTGATACATGACCAGGTGCTGCTTCCCAACCATAGCTTCAACCTCTGGGTGATTGGATTCTGAGATAGTTCATCACCTCTGACCCCCAAATCCCCAGCTCCAATAGGTGACCTCCCTCCCAGCAGACCAAGTGTTTGGGCATACATGGCAAACACGCAAACATCAATCATATCCGCCCAAACCGATAGGCCAACCACGGGGTTGTCTTAGGCCAAACTGTTTGTTTTGGGGAGAGGGGGAAAACCAGACTTCCAATTGCTTTCTCGCTTCCAGGAACAAACAGACAATCCAGTAGTGCCAGATTTTCCCAACAAAAACACAACGGGAAATACACAAATAAAAAGCTCTTTGCAGCAAATGCACAAATCATGTTCAAGTCAAATGGAAGTATTCATGGTTTTGCGGTCCCCTTTAAAGCCATGTAGGGAAGCAGCTCGGTTGGCACCCAGCACTTTGGTTCCCGCCACCGCGCCTGCGAAGCCCACGATCTGCAACCAGCCTAGGGCCGGCACCTGCAAATACGTTCAGCTCCCGGAAGCTCCCAGCAGCGTCCAGCTGAAATGAACATGGTTCCCTTGTTGGTGTTCAAAGGAACATTGGTTTCGTGTATTTTCCACGGGTGAAAGGGAATCTACCAAACCTTCTGTTTTTTTTTTGGGAAAGCATGGCGTTTATGAAGGGAATCTCCCACTACTTTCTGCTTTGTTGCTTAATGTTGTCTTAAAGGGAATCTATCACTAGCTGGAAATGTGTTTAATTCCTTCCTGGCAGCTGGAAGAAAGGCCGCTGTAAATGTATCAAGTCTTCCACTGTTCTGGGAGCTTCCATGGAATCGAAGCTATTTGGTTTGGATTGGTTTGGAGGAGATCCGGAACAGCTTTCCCCATGTACCCCAACAACCAGAAGTTCAAATCCCCAACCACCAATCCAAGCCACCAAATAGGGATTACCTGTTACCTGAGCTTTTGGGCTCCAAAACGGAAGTCAACAACAAGAAGGGCGATTTAGAGCAGAATATGATAAACATCTGAAAGTCTGGTGATGTCCGTAAATCTTGTTGCAAACTTGTTGGCGTGTCATACCTGCAAGTCATACACTTTGTCTTGGAGCCATACATTTGTGCAATAGAGTGCTCTTCAAGGTGTCGCCCTATTTCTGAAGGCATGGTTTTGTGTAACAAAGCGGACCCTGGCTCGCATGATTCGATCCCGTCTTGAAGCCCCTTCAAAATCAGAAACATGAATAACCCTGATTTGCACGCCTTCTGTGGCCAAACATGCTGCAAGTCCCTTTGAACTTACAGCATATTAAATAATTGAGATATGAACCGCCAATAACGTTGCTTGGACGTGTCCAACTAGCCTTGCTATCACAAGTTCGATGCTGGAATCTGCATCAACACGGCCAACATGGCAAGGTATCCAGGCCGGGCATGTTGCCGTTTGTGCAAGAAGATTGCATTGCACAAAAAAGACTACAAACACATCCGCTCTGAACGCCTCACGCCACAATCGCAACCTAGTAAACATTGAGCACTTCGCTTGGGTGCCGTTAGAGTTCCACATTTCTCGGCTTGTGTGGTTGAAAGTAGATGGATTCCAGAAAGGTTAAAAGCTGCTTTGAGGAAGTCACGGTATGAATTGATTCCACGACACTTCACTTCTGCAGTCATGATGAACCAGCCTTTGCTCATTCGTTTGTGGGGCCCTCTGCAACTAGACACCCACTAGGATCGGCGCTGTGGGGGAAGAGGCGTCCAAAGGTCACAAAAGGACATTCAGACGTTCTGCGATACCACAGTGAACAAGACCTTGGTTCTCACAGAAGGTGAGAAGGACACACCAAGCTGTCCACCACCAAGTCCACCATGCAACCCGAGCCTTGGAGAAAGCGCTGAGGCCGTTGGGCACATCTGCGAACTTGATGTCCAAGAACTTGGACAGGTACCCTGGGAAGCGCCAATACTCGGGCAGAATGTAGCCCATGGTGGCAAACATCGCCACCCGTCCTCAGTCACTGGGTGCAAGCACTTTGGGAGCAAGCCATCACCAGATTCCGCACCCGCATCGAATGAAGAGAAACCCACCTACCCACGCACCAACCTATCTTTCCCCAGGTGAAAGCTCATGCGTGGGACCTGGCACCATACATTGCAAGAGGGTGCTTGAAAAGAAGCACAACCAGGCCGCAAATTCAGCGACCAAGAAACCTGGCCTTGATATGGGTTGGCCTCTACAAGGAACCTCCCCCCCAAACAAAAGGTGATTTCCCGTGGTTCCCCCCTTAAACAAAAAATCAATCCTCGAAGAAACAACATACTTTGAAAGCCATACGGCTAGAGCCATGGGCCCAGCTTCTTGAACACACGTGGGGTCCCAAAACTGCTGGATATCGCTGACACTACACAAATGGTGCCACCGGCAAAGATCCCAGGCGTCCTGTCCCGGACCTTGAGTGGCTAGCTTTGTGGGGGCACCTATAACGAGCAGCGAATGGCGCAGAATTACATTCTCTGGAAGGCTCGCCAAGAATTACGCCACTGCATTTAAATCAACTGTCTGGGCACAAAACATGTGAAACCAAACAATTACCAGTGAGCGCTGATATGCAGCTGTCTAGCCCTCCCAGCATCCGCGCAGTTTTGGAGTCCGGCTTTGCTAGGCATATCCCACAACTCAAGTAAGCTCACTTGAGGATTATATAATTCTGTCAGGAACACCCTCGCAAATGGGTTTAAATGGTTTGTGGACATAAATCCCCCAAAACTGGGCTGTCCTCAGATCCCTGGCTAAAAGATTAACGTTTTGTGGGTTAAATAGAAACCCCCACTAAGCACTGAAAACCTAAAAAAAAAAAAAAACTAGGGGGGATGGCTGTGAACCACCAAGAAAATGATGTCCACCAAAACGTCAATTCACACCCACCGGTCAGAAGGAGAACTGCAAACCGAAGGGTCGCAACTGGGAACCCCAAATTTGGGCCAGGCAAAACGGCAGGTTTGCATGTGAGACTCCAACCAGTGGCAGCGTTTTTGTTTTGGTTCGCCAAGCTTTGGACCCCCATCAAACCCAAGGTGCTACATCATATGCGCGCAACACAAACAATTTGGGCCTGTCTTTGTTTGAGTTGCTACCTCTTTAGCAGATCTGAAAGGGACGCCAACTTTGGGGGTCCCTAGGCCTGAGAACGAGGTGACACCAACCACCACTTTTACATCTTGACTTCCGCGAATCAGCCCCGTGGGACTCATCCCAGCCCGATTCCTTGGACCTGGAGATTGCGGGGTCGTTTGACTCGAGACAGATCCAGAGACACCCCGCAGATTGCCCTCACTCCTACCAACATGGCACCTGACGGAGAGTCCCTAAAGGACAATGATCTTCCAGGTACCCTCCCACAGGTGCTATGCTAGTGGAAGTGAGGGTACACATGTCTTCTGATATCATTTGACTGAACAAACTATCCGACGGACAAATGGTCTTTTCCTTTTGCTGTGGTGGAAAATGCGATGATTCAAATGGCCAAACTGTATCTCTTAAGCACCCTGCTGTGGATGGATTATTTCTAGGTGGGGGGTTGTCCCAGCAATTATTCATCCCTGGAGCAAACTGGATTTGCTCATCCACAATAGAGTTAAAAAAGAATGGGGACCCCTAGATCTCACTTCCAGAGCGGATTGGCGAAAAACATCCGAACTTTCTTTTGGTTCACCACTAAAATGGTCCAAACCCAAAAAGCTCAAGAAGTGAATAACGGTAATTTGCCCGTCAGTCTCCCTTGAAACCAATCAGGGAGTTGATCAATACTCCTGGCCCTGAAAGACCATGTGGAGCTTTTTTCAAGTAGTGCCGAACGTCATCTTGTTGGGTGGCTAGGTCCTCCAGTGGAGATCTTAGAATAAGGGTGCCCTTTTTTTCTGTAGTCAATTATTGTTGGAGAACCCTCCCCCAAAAAAGAAACGGTACAACACACCTAGCTGGGGGACCTTGGTTTCTCAAAACATTACCCGATGTATCACGCACCTTTTGATCATCCCTCACCTTTGATCGTCCAGCTCATTCCTGGCCCCAAAATGACCATGGGAAGCTTTTCCCATCTTTTTGGGTGGTTTCCCTAAGGGTTACCCCATGTATCACGCACCTTTTGATCATCCCCACCCTCTCCTGCAAAAAGTTTCACTTTTTGGGGGGTTTAGTGGAAAACCATTTGTTTTCAACCAAAAAGTTCAAGTCTAAAGATCCAACCCAATAGCACAAAAGGGTAAAGAACCCTCCCCCACAAAAAGGCAAAAGAGCACCTAGCTGGGGGACCTAGCTAAGGGTTGCCCCATGTATCACGCACCTTTTGATCGTGCCCCACCCAGAGGGAACCCGCTGGCCGCTTTTCCGAGGCGCCATGCTTCAGCTCCACCTCCCTGCGGCGCTTGAAGTCGCTCAAGTTGCCGCTGGCGGACAGGCCCAAGGGGTCCCAAAAGCCCACGGGGGGCTGCACCCCCGTCTCCTCGGGCGCCAACAAAAATCGCAGCCCAGACCCCTGACTTCCAGTTGCTTAATTAAGCTTGGACAAAAATGAGAACATACTGTGGTGGACGAAATCCTGCACCACCTAAGAAACCCTGGAATGATGATTCCCCTGTAAATGCCAACAAACAATGGTTTCCCATGGTTTCAAAGTAGTGCAGGAATCCGTCCACCTACAGTATGTCCAGTAGTGACAAATTCCAACTTTAAAACCAACAAGGACACATTAAAACATAGTCTTTCTAGCAAATGGAAGTTTATTAAGCTTGCTGTTTAAACAACAACCAGTTGGTTCCAATCAAATAAACTCCCCTAAGCCATCACAACAATTTAATAACACTTTCCCGGGCCTGACTTTGGGGTACACCCAAATACGAGTTCTTCAGATTCTGCTTCAAATTTTGGTCCACACAAAGGCAAATGATGGAGACAGGTCCATGTGGCTTTTAGGTGTCAATGAAGCATCACAGGTAGAGAAGTCATGCATCTTCTTGGCCCAGTCTCGCTCTCGAATGCCCGCAGCGCGCAGCCGCGTGCCTGGCAAGGGCTAGAAGACTCATGGTTTTGGACACGGGGAAGACTGGGGCTTCCTCGTTTCTCGGGCCGTGATACAATTGTTGGTCACCTGTTCCTGCAAGAGTGATCACAAAATATGTCACGCCTAACCACGGATTTCCACGTTAGTCGCATTACTGTGCTCTATTCACAGATTCTAGATCAGCAACTAAGATCAGGGATGGCTGAACCGTATCCTGCATGGAACCCTCATCATGCCGATGAGGACCTCACTAGTATCAACATGGTTATATAGGCTTATACAAGCCTTGCATGAGGCCAGCAAAAACCAAACCAAGCCGACTCGCAGGGATGACCTGAAGTGAGTGGTCAAAAGTCCTACTGGGTCTTGGATATGAGGGGACCCTGTTGTTGCATCCACAAACCGGGTTTTTGGATCCATAAACCAAAAGTTTGACTGGATGTCGTAAGACAAGCTTTGTGATTGGAAAACACAGGGTCCCCTGGTCATGACCCCCTTCATAGGAATCATTATCCTGGTTGTCTAGATTCCTTCTTGAATCTTGGAATGTCTCATAGGGGGAGCCCGCAAAAGTGATTTCCCTTTGGCTTCCTGCAAAACAACCAAACACCGAAAAGCTATAAAATAAGCCAACATCGGAAAGGGTACCCGGAACAACTTGGTTGCCTTATGACCCAGGGATAACCAGGGAACCCCGAACAACTTGGTTGCCTTATGACCCAGGGATAACCAGGGAACCCTTTCGGCGTTGACTATAGTTTAGCGGGGAAAATTGGCAGTGAACAACTGGGAATTGTCCACCAAACATCTGGGAAATGACAGATCCACTTATCAAGCCTTGCCATGAAATGGGGAAACACCCGCTGTTGAGGCTGGTTTCCCTTTCGCTTCCCTCAAGCAAACCCAGCCCGGTAGCCAGCGAGCCTGGCTCCTCCCGCTGCGGCAAGCAAGGATGCCAGCCTGAGCACTTCAAAAAAAAACTACTCCGGTTAGATACGTAGCGAACCATAAGCCTCCGCAGAGAGCGACTCACTTCTTCGGTGGGTTGGCCCAAAAAAGTCGGAACTTATCGTTTGCCAAAATGGTCTTCCCAAAAAGCTCAAACGTCGGGGAACTCAGTGAGAAAGGAGGAGTTAACCCTTCTAGTGGATTAGAACCCAGGTCCCAGGTGGCCAACCAACTTGGCCCAAGACTCAAGTAGAAACCTCTCCAAACACAGAGGTCATTGGATTTCGCCTTGAACACTTGCAGTTGACAGGTTTCCCAAGGAAAATGCCCCTTCGAGGACAATCGAGGGATTTCCGCAAAGGGAAGTTCTCCCCTGGCAGGGGCAGGGGGGTAGTCCAGACACAGTCCAACATGCAGCTCAGCAGATTTTCTCTGCGGGAACTTTCACCATGCAGGAATTCCTGGTTGCACTATGTGAGCTTGAACCTTTAGTCTTCTCTTCCGGATTTCTGAGCCTCGAAGCAACTAGCCAATCAGACAATGGGAATCTGAGCTTCATAACACCTTTCTCAAATGACATGTTTGGCTACAACTCGTCTCCGTTTGCCGATTGCACCAGCTTGCGCCCACCTGTTCATTCAGCAGGGTTTGTTTCATCTCAAGCTGTGCTTGTCCATGTTCCCCAAGAAATGCATCAACATAGGACACCGGACAGCTAAACTGGGGGTCTTTCAGACCGCCTACAACCAGTCGTCCCTTGTTGCAGGTTGGGGGGAATAGGGAAATCAAAACAGGAACCGTTTGGCTTCGTCTGCCAATGATTTGGTGTCCATGCTTGAGCCTCGAGCGACAGCAACGTCCCTTCTGACCCCATGTGTATAACCCCAAATTGTCAGGTTCCAAAGAACTTCCTTGCTGGGAATACGGAATATCAAACAAACAAAAAAACCTTTCGATCCCTTTCCTACAAACAACTAGGTGGTGGCTGGTGTAAAGAGTCACTCCTGCATCCCCCCAGCAAGCAAGTAGCCTAGCACGCTGTGCAAGGCATTGGGAGAGAGGCAATGAGGGTATTTCCAAGTTATTGGACCCTCTTGGACGGGAACCATTATTGGGAGGCCCAAGTCCAATTTCAGAAACCATATGTGGCACGTGTTTTCTTAAGTGGTTTATTTTACCAACCATAAGAATTGGAGACTGTTCATCCTCCAACATTGAAAGTGTCGCTCACAAAAAAGGCATGCCCGTGACTTTCACCACCAAACTCCTGGCAAAACCAAGGGGGTGGTCGGCTTCCTGGCATGCAAAGCAAGGCACCAGAAGAAAAGTGAACGGAGGCACGGGGAACTCCCAAACATCCCACCCAGACAAAAAAAAAAGGAGGAGGAAGAAGCAAAACACGGCGAACTCCCAAACATCCCAAACCTGAAAACTCCGAGAAAAACCAACAAAAACTTGGGCTCCGCACGCCTGTGGCCAGCACCGCCGCACTGCTCAGCGTCTGTGCCGCCTGGGCTGGCCGCGCTGCGGCCTGGGCTGGCCGCGAAGCGGGATGCCATGGAAAGGTGCCCCCAGAGGTCCCTTTGCGGCTAAGAGTCACCCAACAGCTCGCCCTGAATTTCCAATATGATGTAGGTGGATACTTGGAGTGGGGGGGGTACTTTCATCGAAAGTTTAATTGTTCTCCTCCTAGACGCGGCATATCCAATATGATGTAGGTGGATACTTGGAGTGGGGGGGGTACTTTCATCGAAAGTTTAATTGTTCTCCTCCTAGACGCGGCATATCCAATATGATGTAGGTGGATACTTGGAGTGGGGGGGGTACTTTCATCGAAAGTTTAATTGTTCTCCTCCTAGACGCGGCATATCCAATATGATGTAGGTGGATACTTGAGTGGGGGGTACTTTCATCAAAAGTTTAATTGTTCTCCTCCTAGACGCGGCATATCCAATATGATGTAGGTGGATACTTGGAGTGGGGGGTACTTTCATCGAAAGTGTAGTTGTGTTCTCCTCCTAGACGCGGCATATCCAATATGATGTAGGTGGATACTTGGAGTGGGGGGTACTTTCATCGAAAGTTTAGTTGTGTGAGTGGGAGGATTTTCTCGAAAGTGTAGTTGTGTTCTCTCCTAGACGCGGCATATCCAATATGATGTAGGTGGATACTTGGAGTGGGGGGTACTTTCATCGAAAGTTTAATTGTTCTCCTCCTAGACGCGGCATATCCAATATGATGTAGGTGGATACTTGGAGTGGGGGGGGTACTTTCATCGAAAGTTTAATTGTTCTCCTCCTAGACGCGGCATATCCAATATGATGTAGGTGGATACTTGGAGTCGGGGGTACTTTCATCGAAAGTTCAGTTGTGTTCTCCTCCTAGATGCGGTATATCCAACATGATGTAGGTGGATACTTGAGTGGGGGGTACTTTCATCAAAAGTTTAATTGTTCTCCTCCTAGACGCGGCATATCCAATATGATGTAGGTGGATACTTGGAGTGGGGGGTACTTTCATCGAAAGTGTAGTTGTGTTCTCCTCCTAGACGCGGCATATCCAATATGATGTAGGTGGATACTTGGAGTGGGGGGTACTTTCATCGAACACGAGCAAGGTCGTGGTGATGGTTACGACGCCACAAATGTACCCTCCCACGTTGCCATCTGACAGGGGGTCCGTGTAGGGCACTGATCTTCCAGGAAACTTCCAGCGCTATGTCTGTGGGACGGGTTCCTTGGGTCTGGAGAGACTTCAATAGTAAGTTGGGCGTGCGGCAGCCAGTTGGGTTCCAGGGAGGAAAATCCGGAAAACAACCATTGGGGCGTGCTTTTTTGGGAGGATCCCCCCCAAAAAAATCAAAAGAAATCAAACCACAAAAAAGGGGTCAGGACACACCCATCTATCCCTTGACTAAAATCAACAACGCTCCCACCTAGATTTCAGAGCTGGCCGAAGTTGCCTTTGTTACGGTAATGGTCTATTCATAGCTGGCCTTCTTTTGGTTTCAGAGAAGGTGAGTTCCCCCCAAAAGATTGTTCTCTTACTCCTGGCTGTCTAAAAATGGGTAACTTACCCTTCCGGTTGGTGTGGAATGTCGTCTCTCACTGTCAAAGCATGTTGACACAGGGTCCCAAGCCGGCAATACGGCCCTTAGTTGCCATAAAGCGCAGTGCTGCTCATTCGCAGGCTTACCTGCAGCCCCAATGTGTGTGTGTGTGTGACCGGGTCAGCTTACGAGGATGTTCAGCAATTACCAACTACTTTTTAAACAGCAATTCTTAATTTTGCTAATATTGTTTATGTAATAGATGGTTTCAACCATGAAGTGGGCAGGCCTTAAGAGGACCCCCGGTCTTTCACCCACCGCTCTCCGGTCAAAAGCGACAACCGAAAGAAGCGACGAGACCTTCCAGGCTTCGAACGCCTGGGGTCCACGCCCGTCCGGTGACCGTGCCCTGGGCGGGTGTGGCCCAAAGGGACGGCTACCACTCGGGAATCCCCAAAGGCTTCATTCCATTTCTCATGCCTTGCTGCACCCCTTGGCCCTTGCCCACTTAAGTCACCTGAAATGTCTGGCTCCATGGTAATGGCTCAATGGCACGGCCCGCCTCTCGCTGCCTTGCAGCCACCGGGCCTCGGAAACGGAGACGAACTCGAAATGCTCGCCCGGAGCTATTGCGCTTGCTTCACCTCCAAAGCTTTGCTGAGTTGGGATTCAGCAAATAGCTATAAACAATCTCAGGGCTCCATTGCTTAGGCCAAAAATCCAAAGTGCTTGTTTTGGCCACGGTCTCCGGTTGTTGGGTGGTTGCGCTTGTTTTGTCTCGGAAGAAAAAGCATACATTTCAACATATGCTGTTGACTTTCGGGCAAATCCAACGTTGACTCAAGGCACCATCCAATTCGATCGAGGCAATGGAAAGATGTTCCGAGTCAAGAGCTTTGGCTTCATGCGGCATGAAACACAGAGCGCGGCAACCGAAACGGGTGTTGCAAAGCGGCCTCGGCTGGAACGCTCAAATTCCTAGGCGCATTGAATTGCCCACTTGGGTTCGTCCCAAATTCAGGGGCTTCCTGTCTCAAAAAGAAGCCCATAAAAGTGAGCGAAGGCATAGCATCGCTTTCCGTAACCTGGAGGCACCTGCAAGAATGACACACAGCTCCTGCCGGCAGCTCTCGCTTTTCTTTTTTCCTCTGCGCTCGCTCGCTGACCCCCCAGCACCGCTGGATGCCGCGAACGCTGCAAATGCCGGAATGTCAGCACTGGGTGTTGAAATGGGGTCTAGAAATAGTTGCACACCAATATGCTCCATCTCTTTGTGTCTCAAGGAAAACACAATGTGATATGTGCTATTTGGCATCCTATCCCGATGAAATTCCACTCACCTGCAGCGCAGCATGCAATGCTCCCAACGCACCACATGCAATCACTGCCTCGCTCAAACTCTGCTGGTTCAGAGCATCAAAGCGAACATGTCGAGCGAGCACCCGTGTGCCAGCTAACCATAGCACACCTCTCCTTCTGCGGATGACAAGGGCGCCTCCAGATGTATCACTGTAGCTAGACGGTTCTTGGATCCATGGTCTACACTGTCAGCCCCGGATCACCATGGAGGTCCAAATCAGCCACTATACCTGGATGGCAATTAGCTCAAGACAGAACCTCACATGAGGAAGTGTCCATGTCAGGTACTCGATTAATTTGCTCAATCAAATCCGTGATTGAAACAAAACCAGCTGCAGCCGTGACCCGAAGGATAGAAAGCGGGAATCATTCCTGTTCATTTCTATCTTGACGGGGAAGCAGAATAAGATTTGGAGGCCAGAATCCGCTGAGCAACATGGGCAGGGGTGTCATTTGTTTGACCCACCGTTGACCCAAACCTCCAGTAGCCATAGGGAAAACGGCACTCTTCTTGTTGGTGTAGTTGATTCCAATTGTCTTCCCAGGGTAGCCCGAAAAGTCTAAAACCCACTTGAAGTCGGAACAGGAAGCGCCCCAATTTTGGTCTGGGCTGCTCGCAATTGAGGGGTTGCCAGACTTCTTTTGCAACCAAGGCCTCCATTTGCTTGAGTCTCCTGGGAAAACACTAGCACAATTCCAGAAGAAACAAAAGAAAAAAACAAAACAACTCCCTTAAAGACCAACAAGGCCGAAGCAATGGAAGCAAAAAAAAAAAGAAGCTTGCAACTGTAGGTCAAGTTGCATGGATGTGCCCCTTTATTTAGCTTAGCCTGAATCTGGGGCACGCTGAAAAAACACTGGTTCAGATTGAAGACCGGTCCCCTTTGGCTCAAATCAGGGGTCACTTAAAGAAACCGGTCACATTTAGCCCGTACCATCAGGATCCTCGAAAACCACGAACAAAGCCAACTTGTAGATGTTCCCTTGGTTGCTTTTGACCCCCCTGCGAAAAGTTAAGTTTAACTTTTTGCTAGTTAAAAGGAAATATGAAGGGAATCCAAAAAGTTAAAGTTTACAGATCCAACCCAATAGCAGTCAAGCTCCCACATTTCGTTTTGCTCTTCTGGACCATTCGAGTTGGATTCCGAGGATGCGGAAATATAAGATACCCTCCCCTCCACTAACATGGAACCTGTCTGAGGGATCCTGGAAGACCAAGTTCCTTCAAAATGGAACGCTCTGGTGGGTTCCATGTTAGTGCACAGAAGGTCTTTCTGTTTGTTGCATTTTTTGGGAAGTTTTTTCAAAGGGAAACCAAGAGGGTTTCCTGGTTTCCCACCCATTGGGGGGGGTGCCGATTCCTATTTTGAGACAAGCCCACATATATATATATATATAACATATATATATATATATAACATATATGTATATATAACATATATATATATAACATCTATATATATATAACATATATATATATAAATATAACATATACATATATATGTATATGTAACATATATATCTATATATATATATATGTATAACCTGATGGGCAGAAACCAGGCTCATTTCTCCAGCTGCGCGAGGACGCTTTCGAGGTCTGCGGGCAGCTCGCAGCTGAGGCTCAGCGAGCGGCCTCGAGGGGCTTCTTCGGAGACTCGATGTGGAAGAAAACGACGTGGGAGTTGATCAAAAGGTCACGTGAAAACCACTAAAACGGGATCATGGGATTACCATTGGTTGGAAACCCATTGAATTGATATTTCAACCACTAAATGGCCATGGGTCAAAATCCAAATCCTACCCCCAGTGAACATCCCACTGCCCCCTAAAATAGGTTCTAAAATGGGAGGTGCACATGAAAATGGCATGACCACTGGTTGGAAAGCCCCTGACACGATATTTCAACCACTAAATAGGAAACGTTACTCATGGTCATTTGGGCGCCAGGAATATTGATCAACCCGCACATAGAGATGTAACCCAAAATAGAACCCTGCAAAGGAACCCTCGGTTTGAGCGCCGGACACCTTATGAAAGGAATCTTCATCAGGAAGCTTGAGGTATGCTCAAAAAGGGTTCTTGGACCACAACAAAACTTGCTGGCGCGATAAGCAGATGCGAAATGGGATGAACCTTTTGGGATTCCCGAATACAGGAAACCACCAGTCAGAGGGTTTATCTCGGGGTCATCCGATTTCTCATTCCTGCATCTCTCGCACCGCGCGCCCCACACAAGGAGGCTCCTTCTGAAAGCACCTAATCAACCTCACTCCTTTCACAGGGCGCGGGGTTCCCGCTCTCATGCTAAAAAAATGGCAAGCTCCACCAAAAGCCAGCAGGGGTTCTGAAGCAAGGAAGCTGGCGAAAATCATCATGTGCGTGACCAACGCATATAGTTTTTGGCAGGACCCACATGGTGTTCCCTTTTGGTTGCCGTCTCTCAACCCTCCCCAATAACGGTAGCCTGAAAAAATACACCCTCACTGCCAGGGGCGGAGCTCCAATTGACCCTTGCGCCTGCCAAGTCCCGAAGCCTCATGCGGCGGCAGTGCAGGAAGAGCCGGGGACAAGCGGCGGACTCGCCTGACGTGGTCCAAAGGGGCGAAAGATCTGGGTGCGTTAAAATATTTCACCAACCTGAAATAAGGTGGTTGGGGGGCTACTCCCCACATAAACCACCATTTGGGGCGAGGTCGTGTGAGGTCGCTATATTTCACCCAGGAAACATGTTTCCCCGTCCGGCGCTTTGTCGAAACCCGCTCAGCAATCTTCGAGGCGAAAGCTCATGGAGCTGTGTAACCGCGGCTAAACCTCGATTCTTTGACCAACCCTGGGCTTTCCCTAAAAAAAAACCAGCCCCAAGCCCGGCAGCCCGGCACACTGGCCATGAGAAGAGTACGGTTGCCCTTGAGTTACTTGGCTTGGTCCCTCAGCTTCAAATTGCCAAATTGCTTTGAACCTGCCCCAAGGATGAACGATGAACACGGCTTACAAGGAACATTGAGACTCCGCCAAAGAGACCAGCTTCTTGAAAAGGGAGAGCTGTCGGAGGTGCCACATGGCAAATATAGATTGAGATGACGAGAACCAAACAGCCATGGCCAGTGTTCAACCAGAGCGCAGGGCGCTAAGGAGGGGGGCTAAGAGGAGTCGTGCCCTTTGATTAGCTGGTTGCACCCCGCAAAAAGGAAGAAGGGCCCAACCGGCCACTGGTTGCAAAGGCGTGCAATTGACCTGCAAGGATACTCGAACACACCTGCGCAAGCTTGGATTGGCCCAAAATAGGCGAAACGACCAACTGGTATCCTGATGGATGCCCACACACATCACCTTACCAAAGTTGATGCCTACCGAAAGGGAAACATTCTTGGAAAAGGGAATCTTAGGCTGTTATTCCCTTTGGCGGTAACGGGTCTGTGCCTTTTTTAGGCTTCCTTTTCAGGTTGGTTTGAAGGGCACCAAAATACCCCAAGCATCTCGGGGTCCCAAACCCCCTATTTTGAGACACATCCAGCTAAATGTGTGTCATTTTTCAGGGTACCTCTTTTTGTGCTGTTTCTTTGTTTTAAACCAACACAAAACGACGAAACCACCATTTCGGGGCTGCCCCGAAGAAAAACCACACCCAACTGAAATCTGGAGGACCCTTGGCCTGGGCCGTAGGTGACGTCCCCCAGCAATGGCCGCCCGATGCTGGACAGGTGCACGCGGATCTGATGCATTCGGCCTAGTCGAATCGTCGAACCAAAACCCCTCCATGTCGCGCGGCTCTACTTGGCCTTTGGCTGCACTTGGCTGTTTGTGGCCTGATGCTATTCTAGTTTGTCTGTGGCCCGACTTCAGCTTATGTTGATTCGGCTCCAAGGGTTGGTGTCTTTGTGGTTCGGGGTGGTTTCGGATGCCCGAGCTGATCCTCCTTGCTTTGTTGCTTTCTCATTTGCGTGGAATGGCATACGTTAGCATTGACTTACTTATCAAACAAATCTCCCCAGAACAAAACAGATCGTCCTGTCTTGGTTGCTTGATTGACTCGTTGAATTGACAAGTCCACCAAGAAAACGGCATGAAATCCACATTTAGGTTTAGTTCCGATGTGGTTTCATGGCAGACCGTCGGATCCTCACAAATTATGAGGCCCAAGATAAACTACCAAGCTACTCTATTCCCATAATCGTGACCAACACTGGGTTCACGGTACCCCATTCTACTTTAGGTAATTAGGCCCA